GTGGGATGAGTTTCAACATCCTCAGCAGTCAGAATGTGCTGCACAGTAGGCGGCTTAAGCTCACCATGGGGACTGTTTCCCCCCCCCCTCCGGCATCTTCTTTCAGTCGTTCAGTAGTGAAGCAAGTCACTTGGTGTGAGGATGGATTATTTTTTGTTACTGTGATAGAACCATGGCCAAAAGTGACGTAGGAAAGACATTATTTTGGTTGTAGTTCCAGAGGGAGAGGCCATGGTGGCAGGGGAGCATGGCAGGAGGTGGCTGGAACAGGAAGCTTACATCTCCAGCTACACTCAGGAAGCAGAGAGCAAACAGGAAGTGGGGTGAGGCTGTGAACTCTCAAAACCCACCCCCCAGTGACATACTTCTCCAGCAGGGCCACACCTCCTAAGCCTTCCCAGATAGACATCAAGTGGGACCAGGTGTTCAGATACCTGAGCCTATGAGAAATGGAGTTCATTCAAACCATCACTGTGGGTGTAGGTCATGTGCAGCCTCTGCCAGGACCCACAGCCTCCCAAGCAGAAATGGCACCTCTGAAGGTCCACAGGGCCAGGGTCAAGGAGAAGGCCTGACTCCCGTGTGCCACTGTGCCTGCTGTGCACAGCAGGCAGTTGCTCTTACAAGTGAGGTGGCATGAGACCCCAGGAGAAGGCACAATCCTACAGATGAACCCTTCCTTCAACTTGAGACCCTGCCCTTCTGAACCTCTCTGCCTTCAGTCGGTGTTACTTGGAAAGGAAGAAACTCCAATGACTAGTCTCTTGACTTTCACCATTTTAATCTAAATTCAAGCTATTTGGAGTGGGGCTCCAAGACACAGATTAAATTTCTCACCAATCCTTATAAGGGTTTGAAGATTAAATTTAGAGACATAGGCATAAGTGAGTTTCTTATCATAGAGGCTGCAGGGTCCACAGAGAGAGTGACAAGCCATCCTAAGGGGCTGGTGACCTGTGTTCAAGCCTCAGAACCCACATACAGATAAAAAGAGTGAACTGATGCCAGAGTTGTCCTCTGATCACCATACCTCTGTTGTGACAGGCACCTCCCCCAGTAATAACAACTGCAACTTGTAGGTCAAGGAGCCTTTCATCTGTTGAAAACAAAACTCAGGGGACTAGGGATTGGCCTTTTCAGTGAAGTGCTTGCTGGGTAAGCACGAGCATCTAAGGTGGATCTCCAGCAAATGAGTAAAAAGCCTGTAACCCCAGCTCTGGGGGGTGGGGACTGGGGTGGACACAGGCAGGTCTTCGCAACTTGCTGGCCAGCCAGCCTAGCCAGTCGGTGCGCTCCAAGTTGAGTGAGAATTCCTCTCAAAAAAAGGTTGGGGGGGGTCTGGAAACATGGCTCAGAGGACCCGGGTTCGATTCCTAGCAACCACATAGTGGCTGACAACTGTTTGTAACTCCAGTTCCAGGGAATCTTGATACCCTCTCTGGCCTCTGTGGGGATTGTATGACACAGGTGCACTTACATACATGCAGGCAGTACACATAAGGTTGGGGATAAGGGAGGATAATGGGGGGTGAAAATGACCAAAATTCAGTATATACACAGAAAATTGTCATATAATTGAAAAAAGGTAAAACTCTAAAAGAAAAATAAGGCAGACCACCCCAGCCATCCTTACTCAAGCACTCTAACCTAAGTGGGCCACGAAGGCATGAAAGTGGGAGGGCCTGTTGGGAAGAAGGTCAGTGGGAGAGAGAGGGCGATGGGCATGAATAGGATCAAAGTGTAGTCTGTGCACATCGGAAATTATCAGTACATTTGGGGTTGTTTTTGTCTTATTTTTTTATTTTTGGTCTTTTTGAGACATGGTCTCCCTGGAACTCACTATGTAGACCAGGCTGGCCTTGAATTCACAGAGATCCGCCTGCCTCTGCCTCCCAAGTGCTGAGACTACAGGTGAGCGCCACCACGCCCAGCTTTTTATTTTTTAAAGATAAATTCCAGCATGAAAAATAAATTTTTTTTAATGTGTATGAGTGTATTGTCTGCATGTATGTGAGTGCATCCGTGTCGTGCAGTACTGTGGAAGTCAGAAGAGGGCTTTGGATTCCCCTGGAACTGGAGTTTAAGGATGGTTCACGGCTGCCATGTGGGTGCTGGGAATTGAAACTGGGTCCTCTGCAAGAGCAGTCAGTGCTCAGCAGTCAGGACTGAGCCATCTCTCCAGCCCTGATTTTTTCTTTCAATTAAAAGTTGAGAGTAACTGCGGAAAGCGTCAGCCTCCAGCCTTCGTGGCTCATGTGCACCTGCATGCACTTGTTCACCTGCTGTCCTGGTCGTTTTCACCTGGTCACAGCAGAGCTGAGTCAGTGTGACAAGAGGTGGCTGACCTTTGAGATGGACTTTACACTTCAGCCTTTTGGAAAGAGTTGGAAACTGGGTGTGGTCAGTGGCCAGCCTGGTCTCCACTGCACGTTCTGGGCCAGCTGGGGCTACAGGGAGACCCTGTCAAAAAAGGGATAACAGAAACTTTGAAGTGCTTGTTCTCGTTCTGTCTCTCTCTGTGTCTGTCTCTCATACACACACACAAACACGACACACAAGCTCTAGGAACAGCAAGAATTCTTGAACTCATGGATTCAAATCTGAATCACCCTGTGTGGTTATACAGAGAGGGGCTGTCATGTGCCACACAGGATTCTTGACGAGAAAGCCCATCAGTCAGAGGGCGCAGAGTTGGCACTGAGCTCTGAGAACAGTATTTCAGAAGAAATACTGTTTCTTATGGGCTTTGATTTCACACTAAGAAAAACCCGAGGACTATAAAGCTGGTGCATACTGATTTCTGACCCTGAGTAGCTGCCACATGGGACTGTCAGTTAAATTTTAGGAGTTAAATTTTAGGAGTTACTAGGATCATACCAACATGTCAGTAGATGTGGGCATGGAAAGACTTGTCCCAAGGTGCCCGGCTCCTAGAAGTTCATCACTTGCCTTAGTTTGCAGGCTGCAGGTTCTGGAGCAGTGAACTACTGAAAAGGAATGTACGGGTTAGCAGGGCTGGTTGGGGACAGTGAGCAGCCCCACAGTGTCCTCTCTTAGTGTGTCCTGCCTGAGGAGTCAAGGAAACTCAAGGTTGATCAGCTTTGTCTCTGGGAAGATTTCAGATGACTAGTGACACACCAGCAGCAATAAGAAAGCAGTTCTGGTGGGGCAGTAGGGTGGGGTATTGGTGTTACCATGGATACCAGCTGTGCTGCTCACTGGGAGGTGATCCAGCCACACTGTCAGAAATGGTTGCCCAATCTAGGAGTGATGGTACATAACCTGTAATCCCAGTATTCAGGAGGCGGGGATGAGGTCGGAGGATGATGAGTTCCAGGCTAGCCTGGGCTGCAGGCAAGATCCTGTCTCAACAAAATTATGTTGCCAAAAATTAATGAGCAAGCCCCAGCTTCACTGAGAGTGGACAGGGTATCAGTCCTATTCAGAACAGACCACAGGGCAGTGAATGGACGAAGACCAGATCCCCTTCCCCACAGGATAGCAGAATGACAGATTCACTCCAGCATGCAAAATGATTGGATAAAATCTAAGTAATACCATCAAAATAGCTTGTCAGTGATAGGAGCTGGGAAGTCATGTTTAAAACCTCTGCCTCCCTTGTTTTTGTCTTTTGAGACTAGAAATCACTGTGTAACTGACTGGCCTGGAATTTGCTATGTAGTCCAAACTGGCTTTGTACTCAGGGAGGTCCACCTGCCTCTGCTGGGATTAAAGGTGTGTACTACTGTGCCTGATCTGTTTTTGTTTTGGTTGTTCCTTTTTGGGGGAGTCTCACTTTTAAGTCATTTTTGACAAAATATTAGTGGGGTATTACATACTGTTCAACATTTGTGCTGTATGATGTTTCAATCAGATAAAACATTATTTCCTGAAGCCTGTGACGAATACCTGTAATCTCAGTGCTTGAGAGATGGAGGCAAGAGGACTTTGTCTTTTTTGAGACAGGGTCTCTCTGCTGTAGTCCCAGCTAGCCTGGAACTCACTATGTAGACCAGGCTGGCTTCAAACTCAGAGATGAGCCTGCTTCTGCCTCCCAAGTGCTGGGATTAAAGGTATGCACCACCCTAACCCTAACCACCAACCCATTATTCATTTTTCACTTATTTATTTTGGTCTTTTTGAAACAGGGTCTCCCTGTAGCCTCAGCTGGCCTGGAACTCACTATGTAGATCAGGCTGGCCTTGAACTCACAGCGATCCACCTGCTTCTGCCTCCCAAGTGCCAGGACTTACAGGTGTGTGCCACCACCCCAGCTTTTTAAAAACTTTCTGTGCATGAGTATATTGCCTGCTCGTAAGCAAGAGCGCCCATGTTGTGCTATGCCCACGGACGTCAGAAGAGGGCATTGGATCCCCTGCAACTGGAGTTACGGATGGGTATTAGCTGCCATGTGGGTGCTGGGAATCAAGCTCAGGTCCTTTGCAAGAGCAGTCTGTGCTCTTAACCACTGAGCCATCTCTCCAGCCCCTTCATTTCTTTAGTAAAAACTTTCAGAATCCTTTCTTCTGTGTTTTAAAATTTTTTAAATTAATGTCATGTGTGAGTTCAGGCACACACGTCACAGTATGCATGTGGAAGTTAGAAAATGACTTTAGGGAGTTCTTTCCACATGGTTCTAGGGATCAAATTCAGGTGGTTGAACTTGTAAGGTAAGCCTTTACATGATGAAATGGTTCATCTTCTAGAATTTTGATGTCTCACTGTTTCAAAGATGTGACGCTCAAATCTTGTTACAGATTGGCCTGTTACCATCTGATGTGGAAAAAGAAATGCTTAAATGATTATTATGCAAACTCTTGAATGGTGAAAACTAGAATAATTGCTTTACTAATACTGTTTTGTGTTTGGGGATTTCATAAGAGACGATTGTATTAAGTCATTTATCTACAGAGTTCGAATCCAAAAAAGAAGTAATCCATCAGAGTAAGTTCTTGTTTTCATAGGACAGTTTTCACCACACAGCATTTCTCATATTTTAGAAACGGCGACGACGTATTGACCGAAGCATGATTGGAGAGCCGACCAACTTTGTGCACACAGCTCATGTGGGTTCTGGAGATCTGTTCAGCGGGATGAATTCAGTGAGTATGCTGGAGTGTGCACACCAGGCCTTGGGACACAGTCCTAGTTTATACTGTTCATTGTCTTATATTTGCTAATAGCATCATGGCAGATGGTGCTTGCTCCAGTTAGGCAGACTGAGCGTATTTGGAAAAGCATTGTGCCTATCCTGAACCTGTGAAGCTTTTTCTTGTCACTACTCCCATAATGATGTAATCTTGCAGCTACTGGTCAGTGTTCACATGGGTAAATGTTACATAGGACACAGATGAAAGTACATGAGAAGTTGTGGACTATGCAGAAATTACATCATGCATAACAGAAGATGAATGAGACTCTAGCTGGCCAGATTACATTAATATTTCTTGTGCTGCAGTTTTCATAGCTGCCTTTTCTTAATTACTTTAAAGGCTGGGCGTGGTAGTGTACCTTTATAATCCCGGCAGAGGCAGGCAGAGCTCTGATTCGAGGCCAGCCTGGTCTACATAGTGATTCTAGGCCTGCTGGGGCTACGGCGAGACCCTGTCTCAAAAAGAAACTTGGAAGGATTTGAATTTGGAGCAGCGTAGTACCTACAGATTCGATTCCTATACACCCACCAGTGGGCCTTGGAGGCTAGCTTCTAATATGTAGTCTCTTATTAACAACCCCCCACATAAGTTTCTAAAAGGCTTTTTGTGTTGGGTTCGTGGGTGCCATGGAGCTGGAGTTACAGGCAGTTGTGAGCATTTAATGGGGCTGCTGGGGACTGAACTTTGAAGGAGACGGAAGTCCTCTTAACCACTGGTCCATCTCTCCAGCTCTGCATTCATTTTTAGTGAACCTACTCTATAAAATGTGGTCCTTACCTGAAGATGTTGACTGCAGGGAATACGTCACAAGCATGCTAAGTTGCTCTCAGCAGATGGTTGGAATTTGCACACATTCCTTCAGTGCAGGGCTGCAGATGTTTGTCTCAGGAGTTGGTGGTGGGATAAGAAGTACCCAGAAATAAGGACCTGTGCTCTTCATAGCAACTTTAACACAGGTCAGAACAGACTTTGCTTAGTAGCTAAGAGAAACAAGCCAAGCACAAATGGCAGCCAAGGAGGCTCCTCCCCTTGTGCCCCTCAGAGTCCTGAGGGCGGACAGTGAACGGATGGCCCCAGAGTGCCAGAGCACTGATGCTGTTGTATAAGCAAAATTATGATTCATTGTATTCAGACTTACTGGACATTGTTAACAGAAGACTTAACCAGAAAACAGGCTCTTATAAAATAGGTGGATGAGCATCCTGGACACAGCTTCCTGTTTTCAGTCCAGGGAAAGGACTGTCTTCATTTGACTGCTCTGGAGGGGAAGGGGTCATGGTGCTAACACCACATGGCGCTTCCTAGACCTCCAGGGAGTGAAAGACTGAGGGACTGCCAGTTTTTTTTAACATAGTTCCTACAGTCTGTTAGAATGGGTGGTTCACATTGATCATATGCTGAATTTTCACTTCCTTTTCATGATGAAATGGGTTCTTTACCACTTCAGATAGCTCCCTTCCCCCTTTTTGAGACACGTTCTAACTGTGGACCAAGCTGGCCTTGAGCCCTCTGAATGCTGTGCTCTTTATTACCTAGCTATCTCTTAAGATTAGCTAACGGTGTTTAACTTTTTCTATCATTTTCACAATTTAGAGCTTTTAAAATTCCTGCTGGAGCTGGGCGTGGTGATGGTCACCTTTAGTCCCAGCACTTGGGAGGCAGAGGCAGGTGGGTCTCTGTGCGTTCAAGGCCAGGCTGGTCTACATAGCGAGCTGCAGGCCAGCTGGGGCTACAGGGAGACCCTGTCATTCTGTGCTTGCTACTCCTGCTGCCATAGCTGAAGTGGAGCTTTGGGACAGAACCTCTGCCCTTGGGGCACCTCTCGCTCAGGCAGCATCAAGGGGTGGCAGCTGTGGCAACTTCTGCCTGCAGGCTTCCAGAGTCGTCTTTGGTACTGAATGATTTCAGTGTTTTAGAATCAATATGTCCTTTTAGGGGTAGTGATTTCATGGATGAGTTTGTTGTCTCTACAGCAACCCTCCCCCACAAAACACAGAGTTCTTGCTATTAGGAAGAGCAGTCAGGAAGCTTCTAGAAATTATTGCTGACAGTTCTTACTTGGGTAAACCTAAGAGATCATGTTTTCCAATGCAAGAAGGGCGAGAGCACCACAGAGCCACAGACAGATGGCTATGTACCCAGGAGAGTAGTCTGAGAGCTAAGCATCACACCAGGGCCAGGCTCAATGTGGATAAGGCTTATTTTTGGTTGATGAGATGTGATCCTCCTGCCTCAGTCGTCTCAGTGCTGGAGTTATGGGGGTGCACCCCACACCCGTGAGAGAGATGCAGGCTTCTTGCCGGAAAGCTCTGTTGACTCTGTATCCCTTGTGTTTTAAAATGTATAGCACAGCCCCAGCGGTGAGCTGAGCACAGAAAGGGCACTTGTTAGCATGTCCGGATCCTTTTAGTTTGACACTGCAGAATTGTTTTGGAGGAAATGTAAGTGCACGGCATAAAAACAAATCTTAGTGGGCGTGGTGGCACTTGGGATGCAGAGGCAGGTGGATCTCTGTGAGCTCAAGGACAGCTGGGACTACAAGGAGACCCTGTCTCAAAAAAAACCAAATCTTGTTCTTAAACAGGCCTAGACTGCATAAGGAAACCAGCATGTCTGTTAGCCTGTTATCACACAGGCCTGACGCTGGTTCTGCAGAAGGGAGTGAATTTGAATTCATGTCGTGTGTCAGCACTAGCTGCTTCAGACTGTATTTACCATGCATGTTTACTTACAAAAGAAAAAAAACACACAACTTGGACCATAAATGTCTTTGCTAGATCCTTATCTGAGGTAGGTATTTAGGAACACAAATCCCACAGTGGCACTGTTTGTGATGTCACTGGGGCGAGGTGCTCCATGGAAGTCAGTTTCTCAGATTAGTGAAAATGGGTCCTAGAAGACTTTCTCACTTAAACCTTCTGTATCTGAATATTCCTATGTGTGTGTTGTTTTTTTTTTTTGTTTTTTTTTTGCCAACCACATTCAAGTTTGCTATTCCAAAAATAAGTTAGCAAACAGATACTGACTTAGGATCACCAGTGCAAGGCTCATGCTGTCTGTCTCAGCTCCAGAAGTGACCCCACCAGACTGCAGCTCTGACTCAGCACTGGGGCATCACCTCCCAGCTTCCTGGAACTGGGATTAAGAGTGATATGCTGAGGGCACTTCACAGCTTACAAAGGACTCTATGTGCATTTGTTTTAACACAGTAAGAAAGGAGCCCAGCATTTGTGTATCTTGGAGTTGTCAGACTCTGGTATCGTCCTCACAATGCGATGTTTGGTAGTGAGACAGGAGTTCGCAGTGGCAGGATTCATAAGTAAGCGTGTCCCACGGTGTCTTCGGAGTTGTAGGGATCACTTTGTCAGCCTGTGTTAAGGTGTGCATTGCAGGACTTGGTGGTATACTTGGAAGGCTGAGGCAGGACTGTCACAAGTTCAAGGCCAACCTTCTCCAAAACAAGACTGTTTTACCCCCATCGATTACAATTTACCTGAGGCTGTCCTGATTTCTTTTGTGCTTATTTTCTTGCTTTGGAGTGTCTTCTGAGTGATTGGACAGATGATGTCTTCAAAGTACTTGAGGTTGAACAGCAAAGTTGAGTTGTTATATATATTTCTCAGTGGTTTTGAAATGTATTTGATGACATTACAAAACTAAGTAACTGGGAAGTAGGGGAGGATGTCGCTGCAAAAATGCTTGCATAGCTGCACAAAGCCTTGCGCTCAGTCCCCAGCCTGGTATCAACCAAGAGGAACCATGGGATCTACTGTCATCTCAGCACTCTGGAGGGAGGCAGGACACTCAAACTTAAGGTCATCTTCAGCTATACAGTGAGTTCAAGGCCAGCCTGGGCCACATGAGACCCTACCTCAAAAAATAATTACTGGTCTTACCATTTGCTTTTATAACCAGGAAAAATTTAAGTCTATTAAAAAACGTTTTTTTCTATGGAAGTGCCTGTCTGAAAAGTTTCTGAGCTAAATGCTGGTGTCTCTTCTTTGTCTTGTGTAGGTTAGCTCCATTCAGAACCAGATGCAGTCCAAGGGAGGCTATGGAGGCGGGGTGTCTGCCAACGTGCAGATGCAGCTTGTGGACACGAAGGCAGGATAGCTCTGGTTCCCTCAACGTGAGTACCTCCACCGGGCAGCACTTGTAGGTTAGCGGGGCTAGGGAGGCCTTGGGCTGGGAAAGTACACGGCATTTTCTGATTGCCTTTGTGAATCTGAAGTGACAGTCCTGGGGCACTCCACTCTAGATGAACCTTAAAGCACTGGGCCCTGGAGGCGGCATTAGCCTGAGACGCTGATGATGGCGTGTGGCTGCTTTTGTCCTTCTGACAGGAGTGAAATTGAGTGTTGATGCTGTGGGCCTCACAAGTAGAGGAGTAATTTCAGTAATTTATTATAAGCTTTTCTAATGAAAATTAAAGATGCTTTGAAGAACGATGAACCCTGAAAGTGTAAAAATAATTTGAATTTTTCTTTTGGTTTTGTAGGTCAATGTGAATTTCTGTATTTTCTCTGTCTACTGTTCTATAATTTTTTTGTCTTGTGATTGCATTTCTTTTAAATTTACGAAAAAGAAGTATGGCGGCAACCTGTTCACCCTGTGACTCCAGTGAGACGCTCCTGCTCCGGGGACGGTAGCGTCAGGCCCCCTGCCATCTGCTTCAGCCAGCATGCATGCCTTCGGACTCTTGGACAGAGTTCTCGGGATTGTAGCTGAGTTTTCAATGTTTAATCGATGTGGATCTGACCTTAGCATGATCTTTTTGTGAATGCTAGCACCATTTTGCATTTTTTTCCATTTTAAGCCTTTTCTTCATCCTCCAGCCCTTTGCCTTATGATGTGCCGATGAGACCTGTAATTTCCGTCGCTGTTTGTGTATGTCTGGAAGGTGGGAGACCAACAAGCACAATGATCATTTCATCTGTTGGAAACTTGAGCAGAGGCGTCTCTGTACGCTCCATGCTGTTGCTTCCTGGGAGCCCGTGGAAGGCCCGCAATGGACTTGTGAGCTGCTGTGGGCCGAGGTACTGCTGCTGTTAGGGAAAGTTTTGCTGTGGCACCAAGTCACCTCAGTTTCACAGAAAGATAACTGTAGCGTATTTTAGAAGTTCTGCTTTTTGTTCTGTTTGACTAGATTGCGGTAACAGAACAGCTTAGTCCATAAGGCGTTTGCTTGATTGTAAATGTTCAGTGTATTTATTTTGAGAGTAAGGACCTGTGATTGTGAGCAGGTAGGGCTGTGTGTCTGAGTGTTGTGGTGAGCCCTGTTTGGTTTCTCAGCGCTTCATCCCGTCAGCCCATCTCATCCTCCTTCTGGTATCCAGTTTCCCACTGGCAGCAGGGTGCTGGACTCTGGCCTCTGTTCCTAGTTGCCACTTGCAGTTGGCCTCCAGCGTTCAAATATCACGGAGGCTGTGGCAGTTGCTGAGAGCAACCTGTGACCTGGCAGTCCGCCACATAGTAGCTTTCTGCTGGTTGGTGAGAGGCCTTTGCTCAGGTTCCATTTGTTCTTGGTTCATGAACCGCTGTGTTCTGCGGGGGAGTGTGCAGTGAGCCAGATGCTGCTGTTACTGATGCTTCGTGCCTATCGAGCCTTTCATTGATTAGCATTCATCTAGCGAATGGGACTTGATTAAAATTAGTGAGCTGTAGGCACTGATGCCATTGCCTGGAGAAGCCACGTACAGCCATCTCTTGCCGTCACGAGAAACAACTGCAGAGACGCTAAGCTGGCGCAGGCCAAACATGAAGCATTTTGCCTCCATTTCTCAGTTTACCAGCAGAAGGACCCTGGGTAGCTTGATCTTTTGATTTCGCCATTCTTAACATTCATAGGTGTGAGTTCCCAAAGAGTCAAGGAAAAGCATTTCATCCTTTTGTCTTTAGGTCACCGTGTGGACACTGCATTCTGGCACTTGTCACCCTGCCCCTGCTTGGCCAGGGCCCATTTCCCAGGGGAGCACCACTGTGAGCACTTGTGATAAATTCCATTTTCTTGGCATTATCAGCATTGCTGGACTTGACTTTTAAGATTGGAACAATACAGGAGGCCGTCATACCCTCTCCTCATTGCTCTTTTGGCTGCTCCAAGGCCAGCCAAGGTTGGAGCCTGTCTTGTTTGGTGCCGAACCGAATAACACACTGGCGGTTGGAGCCTGTCTTGTTTGGTGCCGAACCGAATAACACACTGGCCACAGTAGGTCCCAGTACACTCAAGACAGTTACAAAGATTGGCCTGGCCCATAGGTTTTTATGAGGCTTGTGGATGTTGGCAATGTGCCAAGAGGCAGATCCCTACCTTCCAAAGTGGGACTGTAAACCTCGGTTCTCCCTCCGTCGTAACACATCTCATTTTCACATTGGAGCTAATAGGATTTTTGTACTCAGAATTCACTATATTGTTAATACTGTGTTGAAGTAGGATGCTAACAACTGCTGAGCAAGGGAGAGTGTAGCTTCCACCACAGGGTGCTGGTAGCAGCGGGTGCTGGCTGCAGGGCGCTTCCCCTAGTGCAGCTGTGAGGTGGTGCAGCAGCGTGCATTGGGTGCTGGATGCAGCTTCTCAGGGCCTGGAGAGTCCTTTGAGCCCTTGTTTCACTCTGGTTACTACATGAGAGCAGTTCTTTATGGAGAGCAGCTCTGCCTTGTTCTGTTTCAGATGACTTCTGCCCAGCATCCAGAAGATAGATTGACAGACATATTTTTATAATATAAGCATACTTTTTTTGTACATTGTGTTCATTCTTGAATAAAGTGAGTTCAGTGTTGGCTTGTAGATATTAAAAAGAAAGTATTGATTTTGATTCAATAAATGTTTTCTTTTAATCCTGGTTTGGTTTTTTTCCTTTTCAAGAGTTCACTAGAACTCGTGACCTTTTCCATGATAACTGTCATGCAAAAACAGTTCATCACTTTTCTGCTTTAAAAGAGGATTTAGGGCTGGAGAGATGGCTCAGCGGTTAAGAACACTGACTGTTCTTGCAGAAGACCAGGGTTCGAATCCCAGCACCCACATGGCAGCTAACAACTGTCCATAACTCCAGTCCCAGGAGATCCGACAGCCTCTTTAAAGTTAAGCCAGGCATGGTGGTGCACGCCTTTAGTCCCAGCACTTGGGAGGCAGAGACGGGCGGATGTCTGTGAGTTTGAGGCCAGCCTGGTCTCCATAGCGAATCCAGGTCAGATAGGGCTACAGGGAGAGCCTGTCTCTAAAAAAAAAAAAAAAAAAAAAAAAAAAAAAAAAGACTTGTAGAGAGAGGAAGAGGCTCAGAAACCCACAAAGAAGCCCCAGGAAAAGGTGGAGATGAGGAGGACAAGCAGAGGAAGCAGGGACACTGTTCCAGTGGTCCAGGTCAGCGGTAGAGCGAGCACCCAGGCTGAGCAGACTGGTGGACAGTGTTTTGAGAGGTGTGCCGTGTGAACTGGCCACAGGAATACTCACAAATCAGGAGCCTGAATTAAACCCACTACAGCCCCTGGGAAACAGCTGTGGGAGGGCTGGGTGCTGAGAAGCTGAGTGTAGTTCGCGGGAGGCTCCAACAAGCCGGACGTGTTACAGGCACATGCCACCACCTTCAGAGCCTGGGAACACACCTTGTCAACTGAAGGTGACTGTGGAGCTGGGGAGGGTCCCGTAAAGTCAAGCACACAAACCAGCAAACTCCTAATGTCAGTGAGGGAGAAAGCAACAGTCCAGCCAAACAACAAATCAGAACCTTACAGGGAGTAGCAGACCTCTCAAATTCAAATGACCACAACTCAGTGGTCATTTGAATCTAGCTGACTAGATTCAAAGCCAAAAAAAAAAAAAAAAAAAAAAAAAGTCGGGGTCAGTGAGATGACTCAAACACTGAGGAGGTCAGGCAGGTGAACCCTAAGTTTGAAGCCAGTGTGGGCCGTACCTTTGAGTTGCTTTGTAAAGTGCATGAGGATCCAAGTTTGCTCCCTAGAGCACAAGGTGCAGTGGCGGGCAGGGGGCAGGGGGCCGGGACCACAGAATCGTGGTGCTCACAGGCGACTCAGCCTAGTCTAATGGGCAAGTTCCAGGCCAGTGAGGGGAGCACTTTCCAAAAGAAGGTGAGCACCACTCGAGGTGGTCACCTGGCTTCTACATGCATGTGCCATGCACCCACCCACAAACATCCATATACAAAAAATGGTCTCAGAGGACTTAATGATGCACCTCAGGTTTTTAGAGAAACATCAACATTGTATTCGACTGCAAGGAATGAAGAAGACCAAGGTGGAAAGACATGAAATGGAGACCAAGATCAACGCATACAGTCAGAGAATTAGTGCTTTGAAGAAAAAAAGAACAAACGCCTTGCCGAATTAAACAGAACAAAGAGGACTCGTCAATAAAAGATGACAATGGTGTTAGAGCAGGTTCCAGTGAGACCAGGACAAGCATTAGAAATAATTTTAAAAACATTTTTTAGCCCTTAAAAAAAAAAATCTGGAAGTGAATAACCTACCAGGATTAAGGGGTATATTTAAGCAGATCTGTTAACAACCTAATAGTCTTCCTGGGACTGGTGAGATGGTTCAGCCCTGTAAACAAACCTGATGACCTGAGTTCAATTTCTGGATTCCACATAAAGGTGAGAGAGGACACCACAGAGTTGCTCTCTGATCGCCGCACGTACCATGTTATAGCACCCTCTCCCATACCACATACAACAAAATTAAAATTTTTAAAAAGTGGGCTGGAGAGATGGCTCAGCAGTTAAGAGCACTGGCTGCTTACAGAGGACCTGAGTTCAGTTCCCAGCACCCACATAGCAGCTAACAACCATCCATAACTCCAGTTCCAGGGGATCCGACACCCTCTTCTGACCTCCATGAGCACTGCACAACACAGGTGCAGGTGTACTTACTTACGTGCAGGCAATACTCATACACATAAAAAAGTATTTTTTTTTTAATTAAAAAAATGGCTGGGTATGGTGACACATGCCTTTAGTCCCAGCATTCGGGAGGGAGAGGCAGGTGGATTTCTGTGAGTTTGAGGCCAGCCTGGTCTACATAGTGGGTTTCAGATGAGCTGGGGCAACAGGGAGACCCTGTGTCCAAAAAGACCCCCCCCAATAAAACCTTCCTAACAAAGAAAAGCCCCCAAATTGGGTGTTTTTACAGCTTGATTCTACCAAACCGTTAAGGAAGAGCTAACAAAAATGCTCCTTAAAGTGCTCCATAAAAACAGAACAGGAAGGAACATTAGCAGCTACAGACAGCATTGCCCTGGTGCTAACGTGGGATAAGGGTGCCACAAAAAACAACTCGTTCATGAACAGACAAAAAAATTCAAATACAGTAACACGTAAGAAGATCCTACAGTGACCAAGTTGGTCTCATTCCAAGGATACAAATTTGGTTCAACATATGTAAATAAGTAATTCAGCACCTGATGGGCAGAAATCACGTGATCATCTCCATGCAGTAAGGGTCTTTGACAAAGTTCAACACCTGTTCATAACAGCCTTGATTCTAGAGGTAGCCTACGGCTCAGTACCCTCACACAGTATAGCCAACACACCAAGGGCAGAAAACACATTTCCTCTAAAACCAGGAACGAGGCAATGTGCCCACTCCAGTTCAGTCTAGTCTTAGACATCTTAACTAAAGCAGAAGGAAGTCAAGGTACCTATACTTGCAAATGACAGGATCTTCAAATTGGACCCTGAGGACCCCAAGAGAAAACACTGGTAATGTTGCAGGATATGACTAACAGGAAAATGAGTAGCTTTTCTATATACCAAGAAAGAGACACATATTTAAGAAATTTAAAACACAAAGTGCTGGAAACATCTTGGCTATTCCAGCCGTGTTGTATTTGTTGACACCTGGGCACCTCTTCTGAGATGCTTATTAGAAGCCTAGTGCTAGACCGTCATCCTTACATTGCTACTTTTGCTCCTCCATTGAGACATTTTGAGTGCTTACAGGTCATTGACCCTTTTGAAATCACTTGATATTATTTTTCTCACTGCAAAAGTTAGTATTAAAATCTACAAAACTTGGGGCTGGAGAGGTGGCTCAGCGGTTAAGAGCTGCTCTTGCAGACGACCGGGTTTGATTCCCAACACCCATATGGCAGCTACAAACTGTCCTTAACTCCAGTTCCAGGGGAATCCGAAGCCCTCTTCTGACCTCTGAGGCATTGCACAACATGGGTGCACTCACATATGTGCAGGCAATACACTCATACACATAAAAAATTTTAAAAAATCTACAAAACTTTATATTTGTGGTTTTCTAGTAAATAAGCTACATAATTTAATGTAGACAGGTATTTCAAGCATCTGCTGAATTCAGCTCAAGTTTTCCCAAGACCCTAGCTAGACTCTGAGACTATTAGAATCTTTGAATATGCAAGTTCCAGACCAGTTGGGGCTACAGGGAAACCCTGTCTCAAAAAAAAAGAAAAGAACTTGACACTAATTTGACAGTTTCTTAGCTATGGCACTAAAAACATTCCAAATAGGCTGGAGAGATGGCTTGGAGCGTTAGGACTGCTGGCTGTGCAGGTATGAGGACCTGAGTTCAAATCCCCAGAACCCTTGTGAATGCAGTGACAGGAGGGTGCTGGGGCTTGCTGGCCACCAGTCCCCCTCCAAGCCTAGGGTGAGACCCTGCTCAAGGGAGTAAGGTGGAGTGTGATAGAGCGGGATGCTAGGCGCCCTCTGGCCTCCACATGGGTACACCCCCCCCCCCGAGTTGCATGCACTGTGAACGTATGGCACACACATCAAAATGAACTGGATTACATGGAAATGTAAAATTTCTGTACTTTAAAACAATCATGGCTGGGGATGTACCTCAACTGGTAGACTACTTGTGTAGCACTGCCTGAAACCAGCATGGTGGTATAATCCCAGTGTTCTGGAGGTGGGGGCAGGGGGATTAGTTCAAGGTCGTCTTCAGCTACATAGTGAGTTTGAGGCCTGTTATGGTACATGAGACCATCTCCCAAACACATAACCTGCAGTGAAAATGGCAATATATACTCCCAAGCCATGTGCTTATGGCTAGGGTCCATAGTACACAATGGACCCCAACAGCTTGGCAGGAAACAATGAATTTAAAAGTGGGAAAAAAATTAGTATTTTCACTAAAGCATTTACAATTGCCCAGTGGACACAAAGATGCCCAAGACAGCCAGGCTTCGGGGGATGGAGACCGACCAAAGCAGGTACTGGGCTGGACTTGTGGGTGGTGTCCACACAGGAGGCCTGGGGTAGAGTGTCTACACAGGAGGCCTGGGGTAGAGTGTCTACACAGGAGGGCCTGGGGTAGAGTGTC